GTAGAAATTCGTGAAAGTCTTTCAAAAAAAAAAAAAAATTTCAAAAGTAATCCTAGTTATTAAGGTTAAGAACAATCTGAATATTACGCAGATACGAATAATAATTAAATTTTGTTTTAATTTCTTTTGACTTTTATTGGAAAAAAATGAAAATGATTGAATAATCGATTGAACGATCTATGATTATGGAATAATTCGCTATTATCGATGTTTCGAATGGTAATTGGATAGTTCTTATGAAAAATAATCTTTTTTAAGAGACGATTACTGCATCGTACGATAGTTAAGATAATTATGAAAGTAATCAATCAATTAGCGTCCTACTTTTTGCATGCAGATGCTGTTACTAAACCAAATCCCACTTTCTAAACTGAAAAGGTATTCCGATTATTTATGGATAGATTTAAATATCTTTTCAATAGTATTATACGAGACATTGAAATAATACATTTGCTTGTATAATAAATTCGTATGTATGTATGTGTTGATTCTTTCAAGATTTTTATATTAAATGACAGATGTGATAAAGTACTTTGTAGAATAAATAAAGAAAAAAGAGAATCAATACGATTGTGAATTGTAACTGTTCAAAGTATGAGAATGTATAATAAAATATGGGTGTAAGATTATTATTGTAATTAAATTAAAATGTTGATAACAACATATTTAAAACTTTAAATCTAACATTATGTTTCTTTTTCTCAACAAAATTTTCATTATTTTGATACATTAATTTTGAAAATACAATCAAAAAGAGAGCCATATACACCATACGTTGTTGCGTTTATAATCATTTTATAATATAAATGAAGTTTATCTATGAAAAAAAAAAATGATAACGTCTCAAATAATAATATGCTAAAAGATCTTAAAAAACAAAACAAAAAATAACCACTCTCTCTTTACAAACAACAACGAATTTATTAATATTCATATACTCGGTGTAAAAAAAAAAGAAACAAAAATAAAAGTACAACCGAACTAGCAGCTCATCCTTTGAAGAAGCTTGCCCAAACCCTCATCCTAATCCCACCTCCCGAAAAAAAAAAACATAAATAAATAAAATAGAAAAAAAAGAGAAAGAGAGAGAGAGAGAGAGAGAGAGAGAGAGAGAATATCTATGAGAAGGACGGATATCTTCCTTCTCTTTGAGGATAAAACTTTGTGTAACGCGATAATCGTACTCGGTTCTCGCAGCGGAATTTCGAAACGGGGGTTTTAAATTTCTAACTTCGTGTAAAGAGAACAAGCTTCACACACAAGGATTATGAGTAGAGAAGATAGAGGGGGAGGGTTTGAAGAAGAGGGCTGGTGAGGGAGAGGTAGATAGAAAGACGAGAAAGAGAGTTTTGGATGAGGGGAGAAGGGTAGAAGTGGAGGGTGGGTGGATGAAAATATGTTAAATTCTCTTCTTCCGTAGCTTGGCCCGAGTTGAAGTGGAAGTTGGAGAAGCGGTGTGTAGTAAGAGATCATGTGACACGTTGGAACATTCATCCTGTGTTGTGTATTATACTCCTACACCTTATTCCTTTTTTTTTGTCTTTTTTCTTTTAGGGGTAGGAAGAGGTGTAGGTGAAGGGGGTAAGAAGAAGAAGAAGAAAGTTGGACTACTACTGGGTACTAGGTCGTAAATGGAAACCTGCAACTTTGCAAAATGTACGTCTCGTATATAAACAGAAGATACACCACCCATTACTTTCTTATATATATATAGGTATTTGATTGTGAATGTTAGTGTGAGTGTGAGTTTGGATGTGAGTGTGTGTGTATTTGATTGTAAATGTGAGTGTAATGTGAAGGTGAGTTTAAGTGTGAGATTGAATGTGAGTGAGTTTGGGTTTGAATGTAGTGTGGAGTATGAGTGTAAGTTTGAATGTGAGTTTTGAATGTAGTGTGAATGTGAGTTTGAATGTGAATGTGGGTGCGGGTTTGAATGTGAATGTGTGTGTTAGTATAGTATGAGTTTGAATGTGAATGAGAATGTGAGCGTAAGGTGTGGATGAGTGTAAAGTGAGAGTGAGGATGACGGTGAGGACGACGGTGAGGGTGTGAGTGTGGGTGTGAGTAGAAATGTGTGTTCATCTTTTCTCGCTCTTATTCCATCATTATTCTATCTTTCTTATAGTTCTTTTCTTGCTAACGTTGCTGCTGCTCACATGATATTTCGAAATGACAGGGTAGACAAAGAACAACGAGGAGACTATGCGAACAATGAAACCCTGATATATCCCTCTCCTCGCCTGAATTGTGCTCCTTTTTTTTTATTTTATTCTTTATTTCTTTCTTATTTTTCTTGTTACAGACTTGTGTTTTTATCTTCCTTCAGACTTTTTATAAGTAACACACCCTACTTGATATAGAAATGATTGGAAAACTATTATTATTATTATTGTTAATACTTAAAGTACAATAAAAGTTTCTTTTATATTTATTATTTGTTTTTTTTTTTTAATATATATTATTTTTAATATTGAGATAAAATTGTAACTTTTTAAAATTATGATTTTTAAATTAGGAGATGATTTTAATTATCAATTAAACGTTACAGAATATTATGTAGAAATAATAAAACAAAAAAAAGAAGGAAAAAAACCTATTTCATATTATTTAGTATTATTTTACCAAATTATTTTATATTATTTAATATTATACACTAGCATAAACAGTGTAACATTTAAATGTAAAACATAAACATTAATGAAAATCTATTTAAATCTTGGATTATTATTAAATTTAAAAATCTGTGAATATTTATAGATATGCTATTAGTTTTATTTATTTTGTCTTTTTCATTTTATTATTTTTAATGTTCATTCTGTCGTAAATCTAATCGACAATTATAGAAAGGATAAGGTACAGACAGATAAAAGATAATAAAGATACGACGAGACTCTAGTAAGAGATAAACGTGACGATCATCTCTCTTCTCTTCCTACGCGTATTAAAATTAAATGTAACATAGAATTGTCAAGAGTGGGTTATAAAGGAAAATCCTAGAATTGATGCCCTTTTACACCCTTTTTACGAGTCAGATAAAGATAATAATGAACTGCCGGAGGTAAAGATCTTGGGATGTTAACTATTCGAATATAATAATCTTTTAAGTATCTACCCCTCCGTTTGTTCTATTCTCAGTTAACAATAAGAACAATGAGAAAACCACCCACCACTCCCTCCTCCTACTCCTTCAACCCTTCCTCATTTTCTTATGAAAAAATAATTCATTTGAAAATATGTACAATTTAGACAAAAATAAATAATCTCAATAAACTAATTTAAATATGTAAATTTAATTTTGAAATATATTAATATAAAAATAATAAAAATAAGGATTTTATAATACAGAAACGAAAAGAAAAATAAACAATAAAAATAAAGGAAGAATAATACAAATACGAAAAAATAAAAAACAAAAAAAAATATAAATATAAAACATTCATACACTAGAAAAAATATAGAAAGATTTTTCAAAAAGATTTAATAAAAATACGAACAAGTAAAAAAGTAAAAAAAAAGTAAAAAGGTAAAACAAACAAAATATTTAAACATAAAAATAAATACAGAAAGGTTTTCCAAAAAAGAAGATGTAATATAAACAAATACGTAAGACTAAAAAAAAATACAACACTCGAAGGAGGGAATAGGATAGAAATATTTCAAAAAAAATACAAATGACACACAAATGTATATTTCAAGAAATATAAAAATTAAAATAAAAATTAAAATTAAAATTAAAAAATTAATAATAATAATAATAATAATAATAATAAAAAGAGTAGTAGAAATATTAATAATGAAAAATGATTTAAAAAAAAGAAAGAAGAAACAGCAACAGCAGCAGCACGTGCCCATTAGCCTTCTTCGACTCTCCTCGATCGAATCCGTGTCGCTTTCGCTCGCACACAAACATACAAAAACACACATACACACATACAGACATACACTCTCTCTCGTGAGAAAGAAAAGGACGAGAAACGACCGCTGAGAGTTCTGAATCTAACCGAGTCGAGGTTGGTAAGTGTGTCTTTGGCCGTGGTAAATTTATTGTAACTCTTCCTTTCCTTTCCATTCCTTTCCTTTCCATTCCATTCCATTTCAATCCATTCCAATCCATTCCAATCCTTCTTCTTGTTCTTCTTCTTCTTCTCAATATTCACACCATCGCAGAGGCCTCTAAAGAAACGTTCTTCTCATTCGTTGTTCGTTCTTTAACTAGTTAACTTGCTTTTCTAGCAAGCTTTTGCTATTTCACGGATCACATAATAAGATTTATATTAGAAAAGTGAAGAGAATAAGAGAATAAGAGAGTAAGAAAGAGAACGAGAGAGACTTATGTTAGAAAAAGGAAGAGTATAAGAAAGTAAGAAAGAGAAAGAAATAGAAAGAGAGACACTTATGTTAAAAATTGAAGAAAATAAGAGAGAAGGAAATAGAGTGAAAGAGAAAGAAAAAGAGTAAAGTAAAAGAGAAAGACAGTGGATAGTAGTATTTTCAATGATGCAAAAGCAAAAGTTGATTTCTTCTTATTCTTATTCTTGTTCTTCTTGTTCTTCTTATTCTTCTTGGTAGTCTCGTACGAAGGAACGAAGGAACGAAGGAACGAAGGAACGAAGGAACGAAGGAACGAACGAACGAACGAATGAACGTGTGGTGTTCCGTTTTACTCTCGAAAGCGTGGAAGCAAAACGTGTTACTTACTTGCTTGCTTGCTTGCTTGGGTGCTTGGTTATCGGAGAGGATAGTCCCTCACAAGTTTATTCCAAAACTCTCAGTTTCCGCTTGGACTCCGTTACGGTGAGAGGAATATACAGAAAGTGTCTTATACATACTCTCCAACTTCAGTTATAATAATCTTTTCTTTTTTTTTCTTATTTTTTATTTTTTTTTTTTTTTTTTAATTACTTTTAATTGTGAAGAAATTGATATTAGGGATTTTTGTTTTCGTGTTTTAATTTCTTTTTTATTTTTTTTTATTATTTTTAATTGTGAAGAAATTCATATTTGGGATTTTTGTTTTTGTATTTTGGTTCTTGTTTTTATTTTTTGTTTCTTTTGGAATAGAGTGTAAGAAATTGATTAGATTTATTATTAGTTATCTTACCACGCGTGAGCGGATTTTCGTGTTCTTGTGAATGTGCGTGTGTGTGTGTTTTTAATTCGAGACTAGGTTTGAATTTTGATAAGATGAACTCAAGAAGGATTTGCATTCGTCGCATTGGACGAGTATTTCTTATACTTTGCTGTCTAGGTGAGTAATCGATTTAATGTAATATAATATCCAACCCCACTCCCCTAAAAAAAAAATAAATTTAAAATAATATAATTATTATAATAATAATAGTGAATAATTATTAATAATTAATCTTCGAAACAATTTTAATAACAACGAACCCCACCCCACGTGGTCTAATAATATAAACAATTTCTTACTTGTACAAAAATACAAAAAAACCACCTCCCATTTCAATACCAAAAAAAAAAGAAACAAAAAGTTGTCCTCAAAATGTGTTTGTTAAGTTAACAGATGTGTTAATCGGAAAGAACAAAAGCTTCGTTCAATTTTTCCATCCTCGAGGACTATTTCCGTCCAACGACGTGTTGACGACGAATGAGAGAAATGAACAGGATGAAAATAGAAGAAGGGTGAAACAGAAAAAAAAAAAATAGAAAAAAAGAGAAAGAAAAAAGGATGACCGCGGGGGAAATCAAATGTTATTTTTATTTGCATAAAATGATGGAAGGGAGTGGGGAGTGAGGATACGGGGGAGGTCAGAGAAGAGTTTCCGTAACCCCATCCCCCCACCATAACGACCATCACCCCCTTTTTCGTATCACGTTCGAATTTTCTGTTTTCCTTCTACGACAGATGATTTTTTATCTTTGTCACGCACGTTGATTTCATTATGAGTCGACGATATTCTAACATTTCTATTATTATTATTATTACTACTACTACTACTACCTACAACTATGATATACTAATACTAATATCTATGTAGAGTAAAAAAAAAAAAAAGCTCACACAGAAAATTTCCTTATATACTTTTTCTTCTGCTTTTTCTTCTTCAACGTGAAAAACAAACGCAAAGTAGAAAAAACAAGAAGCTAGACGTGAGAATAATGAATAATAATCCATGGAATACTGTTGTTCTCACATATTGCACAAAATTATACATTTTAAAAGATTACGTTAGAACTTTTTTTATTCATTAAAAGTATCTAATACCATTGTTTTTTTTTTTTTAATTTTTAGTTTATAATATATTATAATATTATTAAGTTGAGTTGACAAGTTCTTTTTATTTGTTGTAAAAATTATGATCAGTAGTGTTTATCATGCTATCAATAATTTCCTATTCTTTATTTTTAATTAACAACACAAGAACCAAGATTCTTACTTAATTTTAAAGTTTAATATAAAATATTCCTTCCTTATGAATTTCCTTATTTATTTTTTTTTTCTTTTTTTTCTTTTTAATAATATAGAATGTTAAATGCCTTCCTTAATTAATAAAACAGTCGTATATAATAACCTTGATGTTTTCTTAAAATTTTATAACTACGTCTCATCGTTACGTAAGAGATTAAAATAATCTACAAAAGGAATATTTACAACGACAAATCCAAACGATCTCCAGCAAATTCCACTCTACTACCCCCTTTACCCTCTACTCTTTCCCATTCGATACAAAACACATTCCTCTCTCTCTCTCTCTCTCTCTCTCTATATATATATATATATATATATATATACTTTTTTTTAATTCTTTTTTAAACGTGCAATACTAAAGGTATACGATACGTGTCTAGGAACATGTAATGTACGATATCATAAAAAATATCCAAAAGTTATGATATACGACATAAATATCGTGGTATTTCATACTTTTCGCGTGTCGTACACGGTTCGGCAGGGATTAACCAAAAAATATCGGTACGATATTTGCGTTATATTCCTCTACCGTTCTTCATATATATATAGTAGACACAAACACACACGCATATATACATATATACGTATGAGCTGTTCAGCGCACACATCGATTAACTGCACTTTTTGAAAAATCTTAAATTTAAGTGTCACAAAGCACTTGGTATAGTCATAACTTTTTATATTTATAATAACTTTCTTGAATAATAAAGATTAACACCATTAAACGGCAAAATTTTTTGGCCATTGAAAGGAATTTCAGAAACAATATACATTATTTTATAAATTATATTAAATAATATCATTTCATCGCATTTCTCAATTTTTTGTTTTATGCAGTTAATCGATGTGTGCACTGAACGACTCATATATACATATATGTGTATATATTGTACGAAACTAAACATTTATCATTCGAACGAGGAAAAAAAAGGTTTGTTTTTTTTTTTGTTAAAAAAATAAAAAAAATAAAACGAATGGAACGAAAAGCAGTGAAATTCTATCTCGTTCCACGTTTTGTTTTACTTTCATACTTATTATCATTCTCTTCTTATTTCTTTTCGTTTCTTGATGATTCAACTTCTCGATAAAACGATCAAAGTGACAGGATTTATCGTTCGAGATCGTAAAACGATCGATTACGAGTAGAAAAGGTATGTGTACGAATAGGTGTGTATGTGTGTGTGGTGGGAAGACTCGTTTAGACATCCAATTATCTCGATCCTAATGTTTAAAACTGGATTATTTAAACTTTCAAATCGTGTATGATTTTAAAACAAAAAATAATAGAATATAATTAATATAAGAATTATTAAATTTTTGAAATATATTAAATTAGATTTTAAACAATTCAATTTTTTATGTGGGGAAGTTGTTCGTTAACGTTAGTAGAAAGATTTCTTTTAAATGGTTAAATATAAATTAATATAATAAATATATATTAAATATATAATGTTAAATTTATATAGTAGACAAAAAGATGTGATTGGTTCGTTAATTATTAAAAGAAAACAAAATTTGAAAATATACTGAACTTTGATTTTCTTTTTTCTTTTTATTTGCTTCCTTTAAATAATAAAACAAAATCAAAAAAAAATAAATTTAATAAAAAGATAAAATATTTTTATTATCCAAATAAAAATACAAAATAGAAAATTTTATTAATCAAATAGAAATAAATATAGAAAATTTTATTATACATTTCAAACAGAACTTTGACTTTATTATTTCTTTTTTTCCTAACAATTAACCAAAACCTTCAAAAAATGTAATAAAAAGATAAAATATTGTTATTATCCAAATAGAAATAAAAATAGAAAATTTTATTAACCATTTCAAAGTGAACTTTGACTTTATTTTTACTTTTATCCTAACAATTAACTAAAACCTTCAAAAAATGTAATAAAAAGACAAAATATTTTTATTATCCAAATAGAAATAAAAAAATAGAAGGTTTCCTAATAATCGTTTCAAAACAAACTTTGACTTTATTTTTTTCCTTTTTTTTTCGTAATAATTAACCAAAATATTCAAGAAATGTAATAAAAAGGCAAAGAGTATTTTTATTATCAAAAAAGATTTAAAAAAAAAAAATAAAAGAGATTATTTCCTAATCGTTTCAAACTGAACATCGAACTTAAATTCTTCTTTTTCTTTTCCTAATAATAAAACAAAGCCAAAACCCACCCAAAAAAAAAAAAAGAAAGAAGAAGAAAACAATTTAATAAAAAGACAAAGTATGTATTAAAACTAGAAAAAGACGAAATGAAAGTTATGAAGAGAAAACTTCAACTGATATAAAGGAAATATAAAAGCCGAATGAACGGATACTACTAGAAGGGAAAAGGTAAAAAGGTTTCTTAAGAAGAATAAATAGAAGAACAAGAACAAGAAGAAGAAATCTAAGAAATAGAAGAAGAAGAAGAAGAAGGAGAAGGAGGAGGAGGAGGAGGAGGAGGAGGAGGAGGAGGAGATCGAAAGACGTTAATAACGTGCCTTTATTATGTACGATAAACTATTAAATTGGTATGCGCGTAAAAAGGGGTCGTAACGAAGGGAAAACCAATTCGAAAAATTACGAGCTTTCCATCCCCCACTACTTTCAAACCCAAACGACTAACTTCCCCTCCTCCACCTCCTCCTCCTCCTCCTCCCAAGTCCCCCCTCTCACTCACACATACACTTTCAGTCAGTCATTCTTCCCCTCTTCCTCAGCTACCCTCATCGTTTTCAACATCGTCTTTCTCTCAGGGTGCTAAACACACGGCCCAGACTCGTTCTTTCCCTTTCTTATCCTTTTTTTTCGATCGTGAAAGGCAAGATGGATATATATTTTGCTTGGTTGGTACCCCTTATACACCACCACCCACCCCAATACTTCTAAACTGCTTTGTTATATATAGTTTAGTTGGTTGGTACATCTTATACACCACTTTCATATTTCTAACTGCTTTCGTATATTTGGTTTGCTTGGTTGGTACTATCACTACCTGCCCCAATGCTTCTAAAATCTTTTCTTATATATAGTTTGCTTGGTTGGTAGCCCACCTTCACCCCCACCCTCTTAACTCCTCACTTTCCTTCTCTTTCTATTCTCTACCTTCTTTTTCTTATTCTTTTTCTTATTTTATTCTTCTGGTGCAACGTGTATTCTCTTATAACGTTCTCTCTCTCACAGGTTCTCGTTGAGTTCGTTGGGGTGTAGGTGGTAGGGGGTGGAGAGGGTGAAGGAAGGTAGGTTACGTGCCGTCGTCTTCTTCGTCCACCTCTTTTTCTTTTTCCTCTTCCTCTTAGTCGTTTTCCTCTTTACAACGAATCAGTTTCTGCCGACTGGGCGATCGTAAAACCTAACGACGTTAATTCCAAACTTATACTGCCTCGAAACAAGTACCCTCTTTCGGCCATACGCCTCGGATAAGAGAGATCGGGAGGGATTGACGATTGGGGAGAGGGAAATGGAGGGTTGTGTCGGTTCAGAGGGATCCTTTACGGGTACTGAGACACCCCCTCTCTTTCTACCTTTTTCTCTTCTTTTCTTTTTTTCTTTTATCTTTCTCTTATGATGGATTTCGACGATCGAGTATTGCCATGATGGACACACGTAAGGGCAATCATTTCTATTTTTGTTACTGTATGTATGTATGTGTGTAAAATATATATATACATATATTTTTAAAAAACGGTAATTTAATCACTAACATTAAGTGTTAACAAAATTTAATGAATCTCTATGAAAAAAAAAAAATCTTTGCTATACATTTACAAATATTGTATTTATTTACAAATGTTCGTTTAATTTAAAGTAAATTTTTTATTTT